TTCCTTGAAGTTTGAGGTGCCTGTTTTATGTCCCGGGAATAATCAGCCACCTGGCATCTCCGTATATACTTTGTTTCATTTTTAGATCCTTCAAATTGCTATTTAGGTGCTAAAATGGGCTACAGGGGTTGGTCTGTTCATTCATGCAATGGTATTTGTTTAGTATCTGTCATGTGCTAGGCACTGGGGCTCCATCAGTGAATAAAAGAGACAAAACTCCTTGCCCTTGTGGAGTTTACATTCTACTGGGGAGACCGTCAATAAAGCAAATACATCTATTAGATAGTATATTAGAAGAGGACGGGTCCTAAGGAGGAACATAAAGTAGGACGAGTGGTAGAGAGGATGAGACTGGGCGTTGGGGTTATAATTTAAAATAGAACAAGGGGCACCTGGGTGGCCCAGTTGGTTCAGTGCTTGATTCTTGATTTCTCCTTAGATCATACCTCGGGGTGTGAGATCAGCCCCAAGACAGGCTCCATGCTGGGTGTGGAGCCTGCTTAAGATTGTCTCTCTCTTGGGCGCCTGCGTGGCTCAGTTGGTTAAATGACTGCCTTGGGCTCAGGTCATGATCTTGGAGTCCCAGGATCGAGTCCCACATCGAGTCCCGCATCGGGGGTCCCAGCTCCACGGGGAGTCCGCTTCTCCCTCTGACCTTCTCAGCTCTCATGCTCTCTCTCTCACTCTCTCTCTCAAATAAATAAATAAAATCTTAAAAAAAAAAAAAAGTTGATTCTCTCCCTCTCCCTCTCTAAAAAAATAAATAAATAAAAATAAAATAGAACTGTCAGGGGCCCCTGGCTGGCTCAGTCAGTACAGTACATGACTCCTGATCTCGGGGCTGTGAGTTCAAGCCCTGCGCTGAGTGTAGAGATTACTTAAAATTTTAAGAAAAAAATAGAATGGCCAGCGAATGCCTCAAATAAAAAGGAAATATTTGACCAATATTTGAAGGAAGAGTTGAAGGGGATGAGAGAATGACCCTGGCAGATAGATAACTGAAGGAAGATGTACCAAGCGCAGTTAACAATGAATGCAAAGGCCCAGAAGTGGGAGTGAGTCTTGCATATTCAAGAGTGAGCCAGGATAACTGAATGAAGGAAGCCGGGAGAAAAACAGCAGGAGATAAAGTCAAAGAGATAATGGGAAGAAGGCCTTGTCAAACAGTCAAACACAGTCAAACACTCCGAGGTCTGGCTTTGATGCTCAGGAAGATGCAAGCCACAGGAAGGTTTGGAGAAGAGAAGTGATACGATCTGATTTACATTTTAACAAGCTCAATCTGGCTGCTCTGTTGAGAACAGTCAGCAGGGGGAAGTAGGATGAAGTGAAGAGACCTTTATAAAAACTCAGATCTGAGTTCGTAGTGTTTTGTAGAGATATATTTTGAAGGTGGAGCCAGTAGGGTTTGCTGTGGATTGGATATAGGATAAGAAAGTGAAGAGAATTGAGAATGACTGACGCGATTTTGGCCTGCCCCAGGATTGGTCATTCATGGAATGGGGAACCTGTGGGAGTGGCTGGTGATCAGGGGATTCGGTTTGGGACAGTTTTAAGATGTCTATTGGGCATTTAAGATATCTACTGGACATCCACCTGCTAACATTCAGTTAGCAGGTGGCTATAAATCCGGGGTTTAGAAGAGTAAGTCCGGGCTGGAGGTATAATTGTAGGAGTCATCTGCGTGCACTTGGCCCTTCCCAAAGCCTGTGCTTGTGTGGGCTGGAAAACGGTCACTGATTAGGCCATGGAAATTGCCTTCTGGCAAAGCCTGACCCTTCTGCCTTCCTCTCTGCCCCGTAAGGAGAGAAGATGGGGCTCTCGATCTTTGCCCTGCTGACCCTTACCGTGTTCCTGTTGCTGCTGGCAGACAAAGTTCCTGAGACCTCCCTATCTGTCCCCATCATTATCAAGTACCTCATGTTTACCATGGTCCTCGTCACTTTCTCCGTCATCCTCAGCGTCGTCGTCCTCAACCTGCATCATCGCTCACCGCACACCCATCAAATGCCCGCTTGGGTCCGCCATGTAAGATGGACCTCGGTGTTAACCCTCGGTGCTAGTGTTCGCTGTTCTGTGCCCGTATCGCCCCTGCAGCCCTCCTACCACCTTCAACCTCCCCTTTCTCAGACCCGAGGGAGAACTACAGCTCCTGGGGTGGAGCGTCTTGGTGCCGAGGCCTGTTGGGTGTTGAAACGTTGCGCAGTCGACACTGTCATGTCCTAGATCCTATCTTTCCTTCGTCAGCACTGCCCATCCTGGGTTCCAGGGACACATTCCCAGGGTCTGCAACCCACTTCGGAGCTCTTGAGGCTGCGTGGCTCGGCGGGACGCGCTCACGCAGGCGCGGGGGTGGGCCGGTGGATGGGGTCGGCGGGCGGCTTCCCCTCGGATCTGAAACCAGGAGCGCCCCCCCCCCCCCACCAACTCGCCTTTCTACTCTGCAGATCTTCATCCACAAACTCCCTCTGTACCTGGGTCTGAAGAGGCCCAAACCCGAGAGAGACCTGATGCCGGAGCCACCTCCTGTGGCCCTCCGGGATTCTCCAGGAAGTGGCTGGGGTCGGGGAACAGATGAATATTTCATCCGGAAGCCACCGAACGATTTTCTCTTCCCCAAACCCAACAGGTAGCACCTACTCCCCGTCGCCTACAAGTAAGAGAGAGCGGGAACTACAGTTCCCAGAAGACTGTGCAGAGGCAGGCAGCTTGAGGTCCCGGAAGATGCCCTTGAGGATCATGGGAATTGTAGTACCCCGTTCCACCGCCTACTTTGCGGAAAGGCGGAAACTAAAGCGTAGAAAGATGGGAGGAATTGCGGAAGGCTGGAGAGGTCGCCGCTGGCGGGGAGAGCCTAAAGGGCCTTCTCACGGTTTGAAAACTGACAAGAGTGTTGGAGGAGGGAGTCGGGACGGAGCCTAGAGCGTGGCCCAACTGTCCCGCCTCTTCCAGGTTCCAGCCTGAGCTGTCTGCCCCGGACCTGCGGCGACTTATCGACGGTCCGACCCGGACTGTGGGCCTGCCTCCCGAGCTACGGGAGGTCGTTTCCTCGATCGGCTACATCGCCCGGCAGCTGCAGGAACAGGAGGACCACGACGCGGTAAGTCCAATGACGGTGGAGCAGGGCAGGGCCTGGGTGGCCTTGGCTCCACCCGCAGACCGCGGCTCCGCCCCCAGCACCCGCTTTTGCTTCTGATTGGAAGCTTGCCTCCCTTGGTCCCGCCCCGCTGTGTTCCGACTGGCTCCTCGCCCCATCCGTCGCCCGCAGTTTCGTTTTCCTCCGTCTCGCGGCCCGCCCCTGTCTCTGAGCTGTAGGACAAGGGCAAGGGTACAGGGCAGGCCTTCCCTGGGGGTCTGGAGCTCAGGCACAGTCTACTCTGCCTACCCCCAGCTGAAGGAAGACTGGCAGTTTGTGGCCATGGTAGTGGATCGCCTTTTCCTGTGGACCTTCATCATCTTCACGAGCGTTGGGACCCTCGTCATCTTCCTGGACGCCTCGTACCACTTGCCCCCCGCCGACCCCTTTCCTTGAGGACAGAGGGCCAAGACGCGAGTCCTCGGCCAGCTGAGCTGAGAGTGGGCAGTACTCCCAAGGCCTGTTCCTTTCTCCCTCTCGACTCCACTAGGAATACAGGCTTCGCACATCATTGCCTCTCTGGGGAGAGCGCCCAAGGGGGACGGGGCCGAATGAAGCCTTGGGCCCCAACAGAAATGCACTATCAGTTTATTTATTCTTTGGTTTCTTGTAGAAGTTTCTTTGGATATCAACGCTAGGTTGCCGGGAAAATGGAACAAAGAATGAGAAGTAGATTGTACGCTCTAGGAGGGCAGGGGACTGTGTCTTATTCGCTGTAATATCTCCAGCACCTGGCACAGGGCCTGACCTATGGGATAGTAGGTGCTTCACAGTCGTTGAGTGATTAAGGATTTTTTCTTTCCTGGAAGGAAATACACCAGTTATTATCAGTGCTTATGTTTGCATGTTGAGACTTGTGGTCATTCTCTTTGTTTTTACTTTTCCGTAATTTATTGTTTTGTAATAAGTGAAAGGATGCATTTGAGGGGAGAAAAGAGCACTTTAAAAACCTTCATTCAGGTTCCAGCTTCAGTGCTCAAACTTTAGATAGGTATTAAACCGCTCTGGGCCTGAGATTCCAGGACTGTAAAATGGAGCTAAGAATAGTATCTGTCCCCAAGTCTGAGGGTCATATGAGATGGGAGCAAAATCTCTACCCAGTACACATCAGAGGTTGCAAACTGGTGTGTTTGTGTGACCTGTGTTGTTGACCTGCACAATTTTTAGTGTGTTAGCTACTTTAAAAGTTCGGATATTGCACAGAGAAATTTGTGTTTCTGGCTTCTCTCGGGGAAAAAAAAAAAATTAAAACTGTGGTAACACCAGACCCGATTCCCCTGTTGACAGCAATCTGCTAGGGCCGTTTGAGTGTGGCTGCCCACCCTGGTCAAGGTATTTGTTCCAGAATTCCTCAAACCAGCCCCCCACCCCCACCCCGCCCTGCCCAGCGGACCAGCTTGGCTTGTTTTACCTGCCCATCCCTCCATAACATTAGACAAAATTAAGGGGAGGAGCGTGGTGAGAAGCAGTTGAAGACAATGAAAGGCCAGGAGTAGAAAAAGAAAAGGTGGTCATATCTCACGACCATCCCACATTTTATGCCCACTGCTTTTCGATTTGAAGAATGAGTGGTGCTAGGTGTAAGGCGCGCTGGACAGTGGGATCCTGTGCCCAGCAGGCTGTGCGAACTGGGCTGAGTTAATGTGTCTACCTGGAGGTCAGACCAAAATCAGCTCGAGCACTAGCGGCTGCAGCCATTACAGGGAGGTGCGCAGGGTCCCCAAGCCCTCAACCTCCTCGGCGGCTGGAGGCTGTGCTCTCAGGGATCATCCAGCCAGCTCCCAAGGGGGGACAAGGGAAGCACATCTCCGTCCAGCCCGCCGCCAGTCCCGCAAAGAACTGCACTTGGCATTTCACTGCGGAGCACAGTTTGTCTGTCTTGTTGGTTTATTGGCCTAGAGAATTGGACACACACACAGATGCGGAGATAAATATTGGTCAGTTTCTCTAAATCTGGGTCCTCACTACATATGGAGCTACAGTCTGTAGGATTCTAAACCTTGCGTGCTGTGGCACAGAGCCAGTGGCCTTTCCACTCCACCATCACCCTTCTCCCCAGGGAACACCGGGAAAGAGGGCACAAACTGACAAAACTTGAATCATTTTCCAAAGACGAAATTGCAAAATCCCAAATTTCCAACGTCTGAAATTCACAATATTAAGTTCCCCAGCTCGGATACACGTATTTTGATCTCCAGTTTGCCGCAACCTCATTTGTTGCCCAGAACCACCAAATTCTGGAAGCTAGTTTCCTAAATCATATTTGCCAAAAAAATAAATGTCTGCAATCTCAGTTCTCCCAAAAATGTCCGTGGTTTTGGAATTTTGACCTGTTCTGAAACGCAAATCCCCCGGTCCGTCCTCAACTCCTTCCGTTTCCTGTGCCTTTCTGCCTCAGAGGAGTGCAGGTTAAGGATAGAGGGGAGCTGTCACGCGTCTGCCCCCTGCCTCCAAGGCTTCTGTCTCTCTTGTGGTTCCGCTGTGTGTGTGCGCGTGTGTGTATGTGTGTGTGTATATAGGTGTGTGTATATATATATATATAAAATTTGTGTGTAGATATATATATATATATATGTATGTATTCTTTATTATGTTTTTTTCGCAGTTTTTCTAAAGTGCCAGAAACGAGATTTGTGGGAATTTTTTAGTGATTTTTTTTTTTTTGCATTTTCCCGTTTTAAGCATTTTACCCCCTTAAAAATTGGAACTTGGTACATTCAGTAGGAAACTCCACTTGGACTGTGGCCAAGACCAGGAAAAGTGCAAAGAGACAGAGGAGGAGAGAAGGAATGACACTCCTCCATGGTTAACATTCAGGAGCCTGTCAAAAACCTCCCCCTTGCTATAGACTCGGAGGGTAAGACGAGGCAGGAGGATGCTCCTGGTCCTTCCCCCAAGCTCACCTCCCTCCAAAAACCGTGATCTTGCCCTTTTAGCCGAGAAAGAGGGAAGCCATCTTGGCCCCGGAAAACAGTAGCTAGGATAAAGCTCCCATCTAAATGGTGGCAGCCTTTCCCCTTTTTAAACTGCACTCCTCTAATCCCCATTTACCAGATTTGCTCCCCCAAACTGGCTCTCCCCTTGTGAGCTGTTTTTTTTGGGGGGGGGCGGGTTGGGAAACGTTCATCCAATCACAAGAGTGGGGATGCCCGGTCGTCAAAGAGAATTAGGAGCAAACATTTCTTCAACTCCCCCGCTGGAAGGAAACATATGGACCCCTGACCAGGGTTAACTAGTGCAAATTAGGGATTAGGGACTGTTTAAGGTCCCTGCACCCCATCCCTAGGCTGGGATCTTTGGGTGTGGGGAACTGAGTCAAAGATGGGGTGTAAGGTGCTATTCTGGAGGAAAAGTTGGTGGGGATACCCCAAAGCCCACCAAGGGAGTAGGATGGTTCCCCAAAAACCACCTGGAGTGAATGGTGAGGAAACGACACTGGGGAAGATGGAGGTAAAGGTAAGGATGGGAGGTCATGTGCAAATCTTGGGCTTAGCCACCCATCCAACCCCCATCACTTTTCTGGCTATTTGGTCTAGTCTGGGAGAAACCATCAGGAAGCCAAAAAAAAAAAAAAAGGGGGGGGAGAAAGTAGATTCCCTTCCCCATCCCATATGGAGCTCCTCCCCACTGACCCCCAAATCTGATTTAGCCCAGAAGAGGCCATAGGTAGAGGCAGGAAGAGGTGCGATCTGCTCACCTCTTTGCCTTGGAAGGATCTGGGGCCCACTGGATTTGGGGGTCAATACAGGGCCAAGATTCGTGCTGCCCTGGGCTGGGAAAGTGCTCAGCCGTGGAACAGAAGGGTAGCCCTCCCGGCAACACCTCCTTGACCTGAATCGGAAGAGGCCATCTCCAGAGTAGGAGAGCGAGGAGCAATACGGAAGACCCAAAGGCATGGGAGCCCAGGAAGGCATGGCATCATCACGTGAAGGAGACAGGGACGCAGAAACCCATCCCTGGGGAGAATGGAACTAGAAGCCATGCTCCCAGATGGGCGGGGGTCAGGTATCACAATGGTCTGGTCCAGGCCCTGGGCCACGAAGAATGGAATGTGCTAGGAAGCGTCTAGGCAGGGGCTTAGAGAAAGCTTCAGAATGAGGGGAGGTCACTAGGTGAGAGAGATGGTTTCCCCCCGGGTTTACGAATCAGGAGGGTGGGTTAGACATTCAGAGCTGGTGGGGGCCGTGAGTAGAGATTCATGTAAGTATATTGCTCAGTTGCCCCGAGGGCTGGAGAAAGGATGGGAGCTGGCCCTGCCCCTCACAGAGGCCATTCCCTGGAGGAGAACTGAGAGGGGAACCACCCAAGATCCCTTCCCAGGAGATGGGAAAACTACAATCTCACACAAAGCAGCCTGACCCCTGAGCTCCAGGGGCCCCCAAGTCCCTGCACAAGAGTGTGGAGGGGCTCCCAAGGGGCAGGGAAGCCAGGGAGCTGGTAGTGGCAGGGGGTTCAGGGAGGGTGGCATCTGGTGAAAGGGGGGAGGTGGGCCCAGAGCTCACCCCACATCTCCCTTCTGGGTTCTTTCAAGCCCTGCCCTTTCCCCTTCTCCCTTAGGGGGGACGGGTGGGGGAAGAGTCGGGGGAGGTGGGGTCGGGGGAGTAGGGGGCGCGGCTTGAGGGTTGACTGCGTAGCCAAAGACCCCCGGAAGGAAGGGAAGGGCCCCCCCCACCCTTCTCATCAGGTAGGACCATGTTAAGAGCAACCGGGAGAGCAGCCAGGTTGCTGAAGTTGTAAGGGTAGGCGGCAAGGAGCTGGGGGCCGTAGACGAGCGGGTAGGGTTCTGGGTAGAAGGTGACTTTGGCAGCCCCCATCCCCTCCACGCGGTCCCCCTCCCCAGCGCCCACCGGCCCCTCGCTGCCAGCTTTGCCCCTCCCACCGCCAGGTTCCCTGCCGCTCCCGATCAGAGCCAGTGGAAATTCCTGCACCGGCGGATAGGCATAGGTGCCCCCTCCTGCCACCAGCGGGGGCTCCTCACCCCCCGAGATGACAGGGTCCTGCAGAGAGGCGGCCTCAGGTGCTCCCTCCGCGGCAACCGCGGCGCTCCCGCCCCCCGCCTCCCCGCTGGACGAGGACACCTGCATCTCTTGGGGGGCCTCCTCCTTGACATCCGCGGCTCTGGCGCCAGCGCTGCCCTTGGAGTAGGCGATGACGGGCGTGGGGGTGCCTCCGGGCCGCTCGGCCGCGTGCCTCTGCCCGTGGCGGCTCAGTGCGGCCGCCGTCTTGCACACCTTGGCGCAGTGCGGGCAGGCGAAGCGGCTGGAGGGCCTACGGCCGCCGCGGACCCCGTGCGCGCCGCCGCCGTGCGCCTCCTGGTGCTTGCGCAGCTTCCGCACGGTGGCGAAGGTCTGGGCGCAGTCCCCGCAGCGGTGCCTCCGCTCGGCCCGGGCGCGCCCCGCGGGGCCCTCGGCGGCCGGCGCGTCCTCCCAGCTCCTGCGCTCCGGCTTCTGCCTCCAGCGCGGCGGCCGGCGGCCTCGGGGCAGCACGCCGCCCCCGCCGCTGCCCGCGCCCGCCGCCCCGGCCTTGCGCTTGGGCTTGTAGGAGTAGTAGGGCCGCCAGAGCTGGTCCTCCCCGCCGGCCCGCGATTCCTCCTCGTCGTCGTCCTCGTCGTCGTCCTCGTCGTCGTCGTCGTCCTCGCTCTCTTCCACCTCCTCCCCGCTCAGCTCCCCGGGGCGCAGGTCAGTCTCTGAGATGCGGCGCTTGACAATGGCCTCCTCACCGATGCGCACAGTGATCTGACACAGTGGAGGTGCGGCCTGGAGCTGAGAGGGGCCCCGGCCAGGCCCCGCAGGGGGACCCCCACCCCCGCCAATCCCGCCGGCTGGCTTGGCCGTGTAGGTCAGAGTCCTTCCAGCCCGTGGGTTGCGGCCCTTGGCCTCCTCCGTGGCGGTGGCCGGGCCTGCGGCGGTGGCCGGGCCGCCCGCGGTGGCGGGGCTGCTCGGCGTGGCTGCAGGTTGGGGGGGGAGGCGGTGGGTACTCACGTTTTTTGGGGGGCCTCGGGGGCGCAGTGTAAGTGATGACTGAGGCGGCTTGGGCTCCCCCCGCGGTGGCCGGCCCCCCCCCCTGCGCCACCACTGCTGCTGCGCCCGTGAACAATGACGGAGGGAGCAGGGTGGGCAAATGCAATGACGGAGGGCGGGGGGCCGGGCTGCGGGGCAGGAGGGGGCCCGGGCGGGGGGCTGGCAGGCATGGCTACAGGGGCCGGTGTGTTGAGGCTTGGAGAGAGGGGGGCGTCGGGGGCCGCCTGGCTGTAGGTCTTGTAGGGCCTCTTGGCAGCCCGCATGGGGAGCAGGCGGTACAGCTTGAGGGTATTAAGCTTGGGCTTGTAGCCTCCATTGGGCGTCTTCTCACTGGCTAAGAGCCCGGGGCTAATGCCGTGGAAGGCTCGCTGGTGGGTCTTCAGGTTATAATAAGTGACAAAGGTCTCCCAGCAGAAGATGCACTGGTACCTGGGCCCGGACAGCAGGGAACAGGGCGGGGACAGAGACACGGGAGTCAGGGGGCCCCCAAGCCGGGTCTCAGCTGCCCTAATCATGCACTCAGACCTACGACTCCCCCACCCGGACGTTTGCCCTCCTTTCATGCCGCTGGTCCCATCCTGCCAGCCTCCTGAAAGGTACAGCCCTAGCTCCGTGCCCCCACTGGCTGTGAGGTGCTGGGCCCCAGCAGGTCTGTATGTGAACGGGGAATAATCACGTGCCTCGCCTAACCCCCCCGGGAGCCTTCTCTGAAGCCCCGCTGACGGATGGGGGGGTGTCTCACGAGCAGGGACAGGTTGGGGGAAGACACCTTGCAACTCCCCATGGTCCTGCCTGCGCCCCCCACCATCTCCTCCTACGGGGCAGCTTCCTCTTCCCCCGCTGGGGGACCTTCCCCACCGCACCAGGTCCGACCCCAGGCACCCAGAGGTGCCAGTGAGCATTGGGGGAGGGAGAGCCCAGGCTGGAGGGAGGCGGCTGCACCCCTGACGAGGAGCGGGTGAGCAGGGGTGAGGGGGTGAGCACGCAGGATTCCCGCGACTTACTGGGTCCAGCTCCCACACCCCTGTAGTCTGCAGCCAGGGCCCCACCCCCGCAGCCCCCTACGCTCCCCTACCCCGCCGTGCCCGGCCGGCGGCTCACCTGCGCTCCCCGGTGTGCCACACCTCGTGCTTGGTCCGGTACTCCGCCAGCGCGAACACCTTCTCGCAGTAGCGACACGGGTACTTCCTGCGCCACGAGTGCACGTTGCTGTGCCGCTTCAGGCTGGACAGCGTCACGTAGGAGCGCTCGCAGGCGGCGCACACGTACAGCACGTGGCCGCCCACCACCTTCACCACGTGCTCGGGCCCACCGCGGAAGCCCACCGGCGTCGGCAGGGCCGAGGCATCCACGCCGGCGGGACCGCTGGGCGCCGAGCCCCCGGAGGCCAGCCCCGCAGACCCCCGGGTGCCGGTCCCGCGGCGGCACTGCGCCTCATGGGTCTGCAGCCGTTTGGGATGGATGAAGCTTTTCCCGCAGCGCGGGCAGGGGAGGGGCCGCCGGGACAGGGGGGCCTGCGAGTCAGAGGCCTGGGCCTCAGCCCGGTCCCCCTCCCACTCCCCAGCGGGCCTCGGCCCGGGCCCGAAGCTGTCGTCTTCGGGCTGCGAGGTGGCCATGGGCGCTGGGGCAGGAGGTACCCAGGCATCGCCTCCCTCCCCCAGGCCCTGCAGGCGGGAGATGCCCAGACGCCGCCCCAGAGCTCCGATCTCTGCCACCGCTGCCCCGTCCCCTCCGCCGCCAGGTAGAGCAAGCCGGGCGCTATAGATGAAGTTGAGGACATCAGAGAAGGCAGCTGCGGGGACCCCTGGCAGCTCCAGGACCCGGGGTGGGGAGGAAGTGGGGGGTGAGGCTGGAGGAGGGGAAGAGGAGGAAGAGGAAGAAGAGGAGGAGGAAGAAGAGGAGGAGGAGGAGGAAGAGGAGGAAGAGGAGGAGGCAGCTGTGGTGGTGGCCGGGTTGGGGGCAGGGCCCCCAGTAACTGGCGGGAGGGGGAGTGGAGCTGAAGCAAGCAGGGCCTCTCTGAAGAAGGGACTGGAAGCAGCCAGGACACTGCGGTGAGCGGGGAACTTGGTGTCTCCAGCTATGAGGGTGACGTCACAGAAGAGGCCTCGGAGCCGCTGCTCATTGAGCTGACGCAGGACGGCGGGGGCATGGGACGGGTCCGTCACCTCCGCTGGGGGGGGCATGGCGCCAGCCTGGACAGGGGAGAAGAGGCCCAGGGAGGACGTCAGAGGCCCAGGGGAGGTGGGGAGGGCCTCTGACACCAGAGGAGGGCAGGGGGCAGGGGTCTGTTGGTCAGGGACTGGAGAAAGTGACAAACTTCTAGCTGCAGAAGGCAGGGGTTGACCTTAGCCACGCTCGCCTGGCCAGCATCCAGCCCTGGCACGCCAAACACCTGGGGCTGGAGGAGGCCAGGGCCGGCTCAGGTCAAGATGAAGGTCAACAGGTCAAAGGCCCCAAAGTCGCAGACCAGAGGCGTCAGCAGTGGTCACCTCTCTCCCTCTGGGAAGAGGATGCGGCTCCGCACACGACTACTGACCACTTCGCCAGGCTCTGCAGCCTCGGAAAACTGCCCCGTGTCCGGTCCCCCCCCCCTTCCCCGGGCTGCGGGCCCTCCCACCGCCTCACCTGAGGGCACAGCCAACATGGAGCAGAGCGGGGGAGGCTCAGCAAGTCCCTTCTGCGGGGCTTCTTCCTTCTGGGGAGACACAAACCGCGTCCTCAGGAGCGGAGCTGGCACAGAAAGGACCCCGGGGGGGGGGTTGGCGCAGGACGTGGGGTCAAGGATGGATGCCCGGGCTGCTGGGCTGACCCCCTCCCGGGGGCCCATCCGGTTCCGGGTTGCCGCCACTGGCCGGAGCTGGTGGTCACACTCTTCAGTGCGCAGCCCTGTTCTGCCGGCCCGAGAAGCACCAGCATGAGGCAATCTGCGCGTTTCGATTCACCTCCACGCGACGCGGCAGTGTAGTGCAGTCCCATAGGTCCAGGGAAGCCTCTTGGATCGCTCTCAAGTCCCTTTGGCCCAATCTTCTGGGGCTCAAAGAAAATCAAAGATTTGCATGTTGTCTTTCATTATAATCACCTCATTTGCATATCAAAACAGATTTCCTAGAGCTTTTTTATTGGGCTCAACTGCCAGACAGTGGATCTAGCAGAGGACCTGCACACACGCCCACACCCACACCTACACCCACACCCACACCAGCACACCCCAGCCCCGTGTATCCTGGAGGAGCTTTCTGATGCCTGGGGACCAGCAGGGACCACAGACTGACTGAGACATACATACGCCAGCTTGTTCCTATCTCTGAAGGGCACTGGAAAGGCCGCCAGAGCCAGCACCAAGCAGCTTGGGTCCCTCTCCTTACTCTGAACGCTGGTGGCTTTGGGACTTTGGCTTAAAAAGGAGGAAGGGAAACACAACCTCTGAGCTCAGCTCTTGCTAGAGGGCCCTCCGAAAGGAACAGCGGGCGAGCCCGACGTGAGCTGTGGCAGTCACTGCACAGAAAGCCCCGCACAGCCACTTCCCCGGTGGTGGGCACCCTTGGGACTCTGGGGTCCCATTTCTCAGCGGAAGATCTGGGTTCCAGGGCCATACAGTCGCACACAGCTGGGAGTAACAGGGGCCTGCTGAGCACAGGCCCCTCTTGTCCACCGTCCAGGAAACCCCAGAACCCTCTCCTTCCCCACGCCCTGGGCCACACGTGCCCTCTGAGCTACCGTGCAGCGGGAGTTCCTCATAAATCCCCCCTTTCCACCAAAACCCCTCTATTAGTCATACCATCTGGGCAACAAGGCCTCCCTGCCACAACCCATGTCATGTTCCCGAAAAGACGGCTCTGATTCCTCTCCTGGAGCAGGAGGAAGGTGGTAAAGAGGGGTGCTGTTCAAAAGCTTCAACACCCCAAGTGTGAGGCACACACCAGCATGGGTCAGATGCTCCCCCAAGCTGCTGGATCGCAGGTGGACCGGGAATCCTACAGAAGCTACCCCACGCGCAGGCCTGTGTCCAGCTCTGGGGGTAGAGTGAGGAAAGAGGGAGAGGGCTCCCCCCTTCCTGGGCCGCTGGGACCCCCAAGAGTTAAGTGCTTCACTCGCATGACCCTCCACTCCTCGTCACTACTCTAAAGGGAGCGACTCGGCTTCCCCATCGTAGAGGTTTTAAGTCATCTCCACTCCCAACATGGGGCTCGAACTCACAACCCTGAGGTCAAGAGTCGTGCGCTCCACTGACTGAGCCGGCCAGGTGCCCCAGCTTCCCATTTTAAATGGACAACCTGGGGGGCTCAGTCGGTTGGGCGTCCGCCTTCGGTTCAGGTCATGATCCCAGGATCCTGGGATCGAGCCCCACATTGGGCTCCCAGCTCAGCAGGGAGCCTGCTTCTCCCTCTGCCTCTGCCTGCTGCTCCCCTGCTTGTGCACGCTCTCTCACGTGCTCTCATTAATAAATAAAATCTTAAAAAAAAAAAAAAAGGGACAGCCTGAAGCTAGAGATGCCGGGTAGCTAGCCCAAGAATGCGTGACCAGCGAGTAGCCTGGCTGGGGTCTGATATGGGGAAGTCTGGCTAGGAAGCCTGTTTTCTTCACTGGAACTGAGTTCACCAGGAAGGACGACAGGTTTCTAGCTGTGATATTGTGACCCCGTAGGAAACAGGTATATTTGGTCTGCATCCCCATTCCTGACACAGTGCTCCTAAAATTCTTATAATTTCCCAAGTGATAGAGGGGCTAGGAGCACCTTTTGTGCTTAATATCTGGTCTTTGACCCTGGTCCCTGACACAGAACTCCTAAATCCTCTGGCATTTCCTGGGTGACAGGAGCATCTTTTGTTCTCAGTGAGGTGACCTGGGTGGTCTCCCGGAGAGTTTCAGGGTGAGAGCAGGTCACCCCTAAGACCTAGCCATGTTTAGAAGCTCGGGGCTTTCAGCTCACTGCCATCCTCCGTGGAGGGGACAGGGGCCGGGGACAGAGTTCATAACTGACCACGCCCACGTGACAAAGCCTCCACCACGGGGTTCGGAGAGTTTCTGGGTCAGTGGCCGCATTCACCTGCCAGGAGGGTGGTGTACCCCAACTGGCGGAGACAGGAGGGCCTGAGCTCAGGACCTCTCCAGACTTCAGTATTTGTAGCTTGTCATTTGGCTACAATATTATGCAATTATCATGCAGTAAACCAGCCAACCCAAGTAAGCATCTCCCCCAGTTCTACCGGCCATTCTAGCAAATTCTCGAAGCTGAAGAGAGGGTCATGGGGAACCCCGACGTTATAGCTGGCTGGCCAAAAGTATGGGAGGCCCGGACTCATGGCTGACACCTGGAGCTGGCCAGCTCAGGGGACTGAGTCCTTCATCTGCGGGATCGGACTGTACCTCCAGGGAGACAGTGTCAGAATCAAGTCGAATTGTGGGACCTCCAGCTGGCGTCCGAGAATTGGTCTGTGTGCGAAAACCCCCCACGTTTGTTCTCAGAAGTAGATAAGTAGTTCTCTAGTAGAGAATCAGTGATGTTCGTTTGTTTTTTTAACAGCACTCGCTATTAACCTATTTACCTGCCCATCTAGTACCTTTTGTGAAAATCGTGAAAATCAGAAGAAGGGAATAAAATTCGAAGAGGGACCCTTTCCTCCGGAGGAGATAGCAGGCCTGCATGGGGGCACACAGCGGAGGCTCACCTCCAGCCCCGCTCCCCCCATCGGCCCTGCCTGCCCACCTGCTCAGGCATGTGGCCTTGGCGCCTACCGCCCCGTGCCTGGATGCTGTCAGGGCTCCTGAGAACCACGGAGGTCCGAAGCCCGCCCGGCCCTTAGAGATCCCCCAGAAACATCCTCATCGCAGTCCGTGTAGCTGTCATTTAGGAAATCCTTGTGTGACGAGCACAGTGCAAACCATTTTATCTGCATCGACTCATGTCAACACTCAACAGGACTCCGGACAGCCACAGTGCGGTCTGTCATCGACCCCACAGTACAGATGAGTAAACGGAGGCTGGCAGTGTGCCAAACTCCTCACCGGAAAGGGGAAAGGATGCAGTGGTGAGGCGATCTGACACCCCCACTCCGTCTCGCTGCTAACCAAGCTGGGGTCGGGACCCAGCTCGCCAGAGTTCAACTGCCCATTGCTGGCAACTACCCTATGGGGTTCTACGGGAGGTGAAGACCGGAGTTTTGTGAGCCTGGGCAAGTTCCCTAACCTCTCTCTCTCTCTCGGGTTCTTTGTCTATAAGGTGGGATAATGCGTCGTTCGCTTTGGAGGGCTGTCTGTAGAGATCAAGCGAGCTCCTGACGGAGAGTACCTAGTACAGTACTTGGTTCTCTGTTAAGTGCTCAGCAAACACTATAGCTCTTATTATTATCTTGGAGCTCAGTCCCGGAAAGTAGTGGGGGGATGTGGTAAAGAAGAGGAGGCAGAAATCAAGCTCAGGGCAGGTTGGTGGCTCTGTGGTTTTTTGTTTTTTATTTGTTTTCATGGTTTCCCCGTTCTTGACTGGCTATGTGACCTGAGAGGTGTATCGGAGGGGGTGCTCTGAGCGCCTCCTGCTGTTCCCTCTGCCTGAAATGTTCTTCCTCGGATAGCCCCACGCCTCGCTGCCCCACCTCCTTGAAGCCTTGCCCCAATTTCCCTTCTCCAGGAGGGCTTCCTGGCCGCCCACACCTCCCTACACTTCCTAGACCTCTTCTTTCCTTTCCTCCTTGGCACTTAGCGAAACACTGCTCGTTTCTCTCCAGAATGTAAGCTCCGAGGGAGGGAGGTGTCCCCTGCTTGCTCACTGCTGTCGCCGCGGCTGAGACCGGGCCCCCGTACATAATGGGAGAGTTCAAAAACATTTGGGGGAATGAATGGATCTGTCTCCTTCAAAGTCATCCCGGGGTCTGTCTGCCCTCCGGAAGGACGCCAGCCTCAGTGCGGACCGACCGGCCAGCAGCTGGAGAGGAGGAGGATGACACCACCACGATCGGGGCACGTACACTTTGCCCGATATGCTCCCAGGGTTTTTGCGTGGATTGTCGCACGGCACGATTTCCTCTAAGGTTGGTATTTATATCATCCCAATTTTACAGATGCGAAAACTGAGACTCGTGGGGCGTGAGGGCAGGAATGCCCTGCTGAAGGTCACGCAGCACGCGAGCACCAGAGTCAAAACCCAGACCCGGGCTCGTGTGAACTCGGATACGAACTCTTTCCCCTCTGCCAGACCACCGGATCCTGCTCTGAAGGGCCTACGGGCGGCCCGCGGGTGACAGACATCATCACTAAGGTCTCACGTGCTAAGCCCTAACTGTGTCACGTCTGACTCCGCCCTTTCCTTGGCTCCCCACATCCAGCCCTCACCAGGCTGGGTCAGATCGGCCGCCAGGGTGGGGAATGGCTCTGGAAGCCTTCCCTTCCACCCACCTCTGGTCCCTGAACTAGCTCAGGCCTTTGTTAACACTCGCCTGGCCCAAGGTTAGTCTCCTGCCTCTGGGCCTACCTCCTGGCATCCAGCCCTCCTCTTGCTAAGCGTCCCTGTCCCCAGCCGGTTCAGGCCCTATGGGCCATGGGCTCAGAAACCTTCACTGGCCCCCACTCACTCGGGGGTAAAATTCAGATGGCTCAGCCAGCCATTCAAGGGTCCAGTTCCGATCTTCCTCTCCAACCCTGCCTCATGTTAAGACTCCCTTCAGGCACCCAGGGGGCTCTCCCACCTAACGTGGCCCCTGGCCCCCCCGTCTTTGCCTGCACCGGCTCTCCTGCCAGAGACGAAACCTCTCTCAACCTCTTCCCGAAGCCCTCCAAATGTCACTTCCGCCGTGGCCCTCCCTGACCCACAGGCCAAGGGCAGTCTCTCCTGTGCCTAGCTCATCAACACGGGGTACCCCTGTGGCCAGCACCCAGCACCCAACTGTAGGTCCTCACTGCCTGGGTTGGGACTCCCTGCATCATTGTCAAAGCACGCTGGTCTTCTGAGATGGCCTGGTACAGGTGCTAGGTTCTGCAGAAATGGGAGAGAAGCGTGTGTGTGTGGGGGTGCACAGAGAGGCCCACAGAAAGCTCCATTCAGAAAGGCAGCAGAGAATGGCCTGGAAGAGCACAGAATCTAGAGCTTTCTCTCTTACCAGCAAGATGGCTTTGAGCAAATGACTTAACTTCTCTGGGTTCAGCTGTCTTCATTGGAAAAAGGGAGATGATTCGAACACCTCCTTCCACGGGGTGTTGCAAAGACTAAATGAATGAGAACGTGGAAAAGCACGGAGAACAGGGCCCGGGACACTGTGCGTGCTCGATCTGAGTTCACTGCCACTGCTATGGGCCCGGCCCTGAGAAGGGGCTCTACAGGGGGCTGGCACGGGCAGAGCCCCCAGACTGGAGCTGCCGTCCAGGCACTTTCCCATGTGCCACTTACGTCCCCGTCAGAAGACCATGGCAGGGATCCAGTCCCATTTTACGTATGAGGAACCGAGGCTCCCTCAAGGCCAGAGCCCCTCAGATCTAGTCCAGACGCCCCTCCCCTCCAGCAGGCCATAATGGACCCGCTGTGTCTGCCTCCCACAGCAGCCAGCAGCCCCCCACTCCCATGGCACGGAAGGGCCTGGCCCCAGTGCCCTCCTCACCCCCTCCCTGCGCAGTACGTAACCGCGCCCCCCCCCCAGCCAGGCCAGGCACAGCGCACACACCTTTCATTACACACACACACACACACACACACACACACAGGTGAGGAAAACCTGTTCTGAGCAATCTGCCTCGTGAGTGAATTCCATTCCCAGACCCCTCCACAGGGGCAGGAGCGGCCCCGTGTGCGTCACAGAAGAGCAGGAAAAGCAGAGGTACGGCGGGGAGGGGGCAGAGAGGAGGGTGAAGCCGGAGGAGGGGACTGAAAACTTCGTGTTTCTTTTTTCCATGTCAGTGACAAGAGTCACACCCGGCCTTTACGTAAACACGGCCAAGAATCCACCCGGGGCCAAGCTTAGTTTCCTTGCCACCGCCAGGCCTCTCCTCCCGGTGACCCTGACACGGACCCCGCACAAAGACCGGCCGGGCCACCCCAACAACACCCAGGCCTCCTGCCTGCTGCCCTTGCTCTGCCCCATATTTATCTCGCTGCCTCCTTCATAACAGATCCCTACGGCAGCCCCACACGGCCGCTCAGCCACACGGAAGGCAGGCACGCACACACAGCTCGCGCCTGATCTCCCGGGGCTGAGGCCCACATTACCCTTGTCACGCCACCTCCCTCCCCACAAGTGTTTTCTGACCGGCTCGCCTCCCAGCCCCACAGCATGGACAGGCTCCCACAAACAACGTCACAAAAGAATCCCATAGAGAATGTTACAGACACACAACCTTGCCCTCGCCTGGCTGCCCACGATTCCATAAACACAACCTGTATGTTCCCCCAGCCCAGGGCCCGTGGCCCTGCAAGTACCTGGGACACACCCTGGGGGCTTCTCACTCAGATCCTGGGGACCTGAGTTCTAGACCTGCTTCCCCCCACCGTGCAGCTCACTCAACACGCAGACCCACAAACCCTGCGGGCGGGCCATCCTCGCCAACATGGGGCCACACCTCAGCAGGGCACAGAAAGGGGACCTGGACGTGACACCTTCTGACCCAGAGGTACACAACAGCCCCCTCCAGACGGCACATACCCGCCGCTGGCAGGTGCCCTCCACAGCACATACCCTAACCACGCCAGCTGCGCAGAAAACAACAGTTCATAAATAGTTCATGTGTGCGAGAAAACACATGCCAGCAGCAAACATACATAAAACCACACATCTGACAAAACTCCGCATGGATTGTGCCCTGCTTTCCTATGCTGACCTGTCACACAGAGCCACAGGGCCACCTCTTGTAATTCTGCCCCACATCCCTGGACACCCCTCCACAAGACTATCTGTTCCCGTGGCTCAGGGAGGGCCCTACCCGGACCCCTGGCCGCGGGACCAGCAAATGGTGGTGCCGGGGGAGAGGTTTACCTTGCCCCACAACACAGCAGGAGACACACAATCTCCGGGACTCACAGTCACAACCCTGCCCCGACGGCACGGCGGCTCTGGGGCCCCTGCTCGCCCTGCGCACCCCGCACACCCCAACTCCGGGGCGCTGGGCGGCCCACCCCTCCCCCTCTCTGCCTGGCTCCTACGCCATCGCCCTCCCAGCAGCTTGCAGCGCCGGCCCGGGATCACACCCGCCCCACCCCACCCCCAACCTGCCCCACGGAGGGGTGGGGGGCGCCGGGCTGCAGAATTAACCCTTTGGGAGGGGAGGGAGCGCGAACCCCTCCCCGGCCTTGGGCGATCGCGCCCCCGGGCCGCCGCCGGGTCGGACGCCGCACCCGGGCCCCCTTAGTCGCCCCCCAGCGCCGCGCGCGCCTGGAGGCGGGGCCAGACTCAGCCCCCGACCCCTGAGCCCCCAGGTCAACCCCAGAGGGGAGCGGTCGCGGCGCGGAGCGCGGCTCGGGCCCCCGCGGCGCCGGGCAGGCGGGGAGGGGGCCCGGCTGTTGGCTCCGGTCCGCCCTGGCCCTGCCCGGTTCGCCCCGGGGCCCACCTGACTGCGATGGCGCCGCGTCCGCCAGGCCCGGCTCATCCCCGTGGCCGCCCCCGGCCGCTCCGGTTTCGCCCGCCTCCAGCTCTGGCTCCGGCTCCGGCTCCGGCCCCGGCCCCCCCCAGCGCCCGGCCCCGGCCCGGCCCCGCCGCCGCCGCCGCCGCCGCCGCCGCCGCTGACATCATCGGCTCCCCCCGCCCCGGTCCTACCCCCACCCCCACCCCCGGAAACAGTACCCCCCCAGCGCCGCCACCGCGGAGAGGAGGCCGGCGCAGCGCAGCCGACACCGACGCAGGGCTCCCGGCTCAGGCTCCGGGGAGAGCGTGCCCGACGGCCTCGGCCCGGACGGATCCCGGGACGGAAACGGCGCCGCGCCGTGCCGCCAGACGGGTGGACCCCAAGCGGGCGCGGGTCTGGCCGCGGCACTCCCGCGGGCCCGGACGACCACCCACGCCCTGGCAAAAGGACGCCCCCCACCCCACCCCGCGCCCTGCACGCCCTTCATTCGGCGGGGCCCAGCGCCCAGGGCACGCACACCCTCTCCGCAGACACACAACATGGCAGGCTTGCGATCCAGCCCAGTGGGACCCACAGACCGAGGCTCAGCACACTCACGGGGCCGGCCCTGGACACACGCACTTACCCCCCCCCCCTCCCCAGAAAGGCACAGAGCCCCCCACCAGGCTGCAGGCCAGGCAGGCCCCAGCCGGACAGAAATGACTACCGGTGCAGATGAACACGCAGCTCGAATTTTGTCCCCACCGGCAGAAACCTCCACATCTATACATTCGTGCAAAAATGCAGAGGCCTTGGTGTGCGCCTCCTGGGACACCACCACCAACACACCAGGTGCGAGCACACACAGAAGAAACACGCATTCCTGAAACTCCAGAGGGACAGTCCCAGAGACTCCTCCCTGGTCTTCAAAAATTCAGAGCTGGGGAGACCCCGGAGCCAGCTCTTAGAGCTCCTTCCCGCAAAACCTTTCCGAAACAAGGTGAGACGTACATAAACAAAGTTACATAAAGCCAAAGAAGTCTCATCACAGAGCTACTCAGGAGGGAAAGAAAAAAAAAAAAGGAATGAGACAATCTTCGGAGCCAGACAGACAGAGAGCCAGCCGGGTTGGAAACAATGAGAAACTAGGCCCACCCCCACCCCAGGAAGGTTCCAGGGAAGAACCCCCCCCCCCCCGCCCTCAGGAAGGTTCCAGGGAAGAACCCCACTCCCACTCCAGCCAGGTCACAAGGGCTAGAGCTCCGAAGGGCCCAGGGCCCCTGAGCCAGGAGTAGAGGAGGAAGTCCAAGGAAAGATGGTGAGTGTGGGGGTCATGGGGGCATGGCCCCCTTCCCAGAGCTCCTGGCTGCTCCCTTTTGTCTCTTCCCCTCAAACTTTCCCAGCTGTCCTGGAGACTCCCACAAATGAAACTCACAATGGTATACCCGGGCGTCCGCGGAACCTGTGACATCACACCAACGCCCAGCATCTGAGGCTGCCTTCCCGTCCCCAAACCAACAGAGCCCCCCTGGGTCCCTTTTCTTCTCCTCGGAACAGCTTACCCAGAGAAAAACGATACTTGGAGACCGCTTACCCCCTGCTTCCTGCTTTAGAGGCCCCTGGCCCACACTGTACCCCTTCATCCAGTTTCGGGCCCTTTCTAGCTCCCGAGGGTTCTCAGCAAGACAGCCCGACCCCGCTACTGTCCCTTGAGGTCGCAGACCCCACCCTGACATTCACCCCACCCCCTGCTCCCCGGGGCTACGGCTGCCCTAATGCCCCAGCTCCTTTCTCCCCCACAGGCTGGCAATCACCCTTACTTCAACCTGCCCGACTTCACCCAGCCATCGCCGCCCTCCACTCCGGCCAGTCTCCCCCCGCACCAGCGCTGCCGGCCCTCTGATGCCACCAAGGGCCTGCTCGTGGCCCTGCTGGGTGGGGGCCTGCCTGCTGGCTTTGTGGGCCCCTTCTCCCGCATGGCTTACCAGGCCTCCCGCTTACCCTCGCTGGAGCTGCTCATCTGTCGCTGTCTCTTTCACCTCCCCATTGCCCTGCTACTGAAAGTGCGTGGTGACCCCCTGTTGGGACCTCCCGATGTCCGGGGCCGGGCCTGCCTCCATGCCCTGCTCAACGTCCTCAGCATTGGGTGCGCCTACAGCGCGGTTCAGGTGGTGCCTGCTGGTAACGCAGCCACGGTCCGCAAGGGCTCGTCCACCGTCTGCTCCGCCCTCCTCGCCCTCTGCCTCGAGAGTCAGGGTCTCAGCGGCTACGACTGGTGTGGTCTGTTGGGCAGCACCCTGGGACTCATCATCATTGTGGGACCTGGACTAGGGACGCTGCAGGAGGGGACCACGGGCCTCTACACCGCCCTGGGCTACGTGCTCGCATTCCTGGGCGGCCTGGCACTGTCGCTGGGGCTCCTGGTCTATCGTTCCCTGGACTTCCCCTCTTGCCTGCCAACAGTGGCCTTCCTGTTTGGCTTGGTGGGGCTGGTGGGCTCGGTGCCAGGCCTCTTCATACTGCAGACCCCTGTGCTGCCCAGCGATCCTCTGAGTTGGAGCTGTGTGGGGGCCGTGGGGATCCTCGCCCTGGTCTCCTTTGTGTGCGTGAGCTATGCAGTCACGAAAGCCCACCCTGCCCTGGTGTGCGCCGTCCTGCACTCCGAGGTGGTGGTGGCCTTGATGCTGCAGTATTACGTGCTCTATGAGACCGTGGCGCCTTCTGACATCATGGGGGCAGGCGTGGTGTTGGGCAGCATCGCCATCATCACCGCCCAGAACCTCAGCTGTGAGAGGGAGGGGCAGGTGGAGGAGTGAGATCCGACCGGAGAGCCTGGGGGTTGGGGGGGCAGGGGGAAATAGGAGGAGGAGAGACTGGAATACAAACATGGGAGAAGCAGCGACCGGAAAAGAGCTGATACCGGAGAGGGACACCCCTTGGAGTCAGGGGTGGAGAGGGGCTCTTCCTAGATTTGGAACAAGCGTGGGGACCAAAACACGTGATGTCTAGGCTGGGGCTTGGGGATCAGGGCATAACTACAGGGCAAGTGAGGTCGAAGGAGCCAACGGAGGGGCTGAGAGGTAGGCCCGCCATGAGCCATGGGGAGGATTTTTCCCTCAGCAGCAGAAAGAGCATTGGGGCTGGAGTGTTTGGCGGGGGGGTTTCAGGCAAAGGGACAGAGCGAGCAGCTGGGGTCAGGGAGTGTGCCTCCCCCCCACCACGAGACACGGTTTCCTTCCCTCATGGTTATGCCTCCTCCCCCTCCCCCCCCGCGTGGTGACGTGACATTGACATCAAACAAGGATCACTCTGAATGTGGCTGTGCAGTTGGTGTCATCTCTGCTTTGGAAGGAGAGTGAAAGTCCTACTCCGCTCTCATTGGAGAATCCCTTGGGATCCCTGCCCCCCTCCCCCCGCCAATCTGGTTTCTGAAATATTCTGGAAGGGGGTAGGATTTCCTAACGTTCAGACGCCTTGACCCTGAATCCCCCAGGACTTCTGTGTCCCGCCCCGTGGCTAATCTGCTTTTCCTGGATTGTCGCGGTCCCGTGATGTCTCCCGGACAGTGGCCAGCCTCCTTCCGGAGAAGGTCCCCTGAGCGGCTCGGGCCGGGGGCTCCCGGGCCAGAGTTCCGTACAGCGCTCCTTGGGAGGCCGCTCGACAAATACCAGCTACTTCCGGACAAGCGATTGGCCTCGCCATCTTGATCGGTTCATGCATATTCAGCGTGGATACTGCATATTCATGACCAAGAACGGCCCCCGGCGCTCTCCCCCCCCCACCGAACCCTCTTGGGAGGATCCGGCCGGCCCCGCCTCCTTCATTACCGACTCGCAGAACAGACCATTTTCCAGCGGAGGGAAGGGGGGGGGAAATATTCATGGGAGACTTCTGCTGAGGACGAAAGCACGGTCCAAACTAGAATAAAAGTGGCCTGTATTCCACCTTGGTTCTTTAAACTTAAATCTCAGGGCGGGAGGGAGCAGAGCGGGCAGGCGGCGGGGTAAAGCACGTTCCCCTCCCCCGCGTCCCTTCTAAAGGTCGCCCAACCAGGGAGCCGAGGAGGGCCCACAAACGACTCGGGAGCGCGCTCCGTGCAGGCCGGCGCAGGCGACCCCGTAGCGCAAGGGAGGGCGGGAAAGGAAGGGGCGGGGATGTAGGGGCGAGTCTATAAAGGGCGTCATTCGGCCAGCTCGCTCTTCAGAAGCGCCGAGAGCGCGGCCGGGACGGTTGGAGAAGAAGGCGGCTCCCGGAAGGGGGAGAGACAAACTGCCGTAACCTCTGCCGTTCAGGAGCCCGGTTACTTATTTATTCGTTACCCTTTTTCTCCTTCCTCCCCCCGAAACCTTTTCCTTCCCCCCCCCTTTCTTTTTTTTCCTTTTTGGGAGACGAAAAATCTCCGGAAAGGGGGAGGAGAGCGCCTTTCGCTCCTTTTTCACTTCCCCGCCTCCTTCCCTCCCCCACCTCTCCCTCCTCCGCCTTTTTCCTCCCAACTCGGGGAGGTCCTTCCCGGCGGCCGCCCCGACGGGGTCTGAGCACCTAGGCGGAGGCGGCGCAGGGTTTTTGTAGAGAGGTTTGCGCCTGCGCAGCGCGCCGGCCTCCGCGATGCACGGGGGTGGCCCCCCCCTCCGGGGACAGCGCATGCCCGCTGCGCACCATCAAGCGAGTGCAGTTCGGAGTCCTCAGTCCGGATGAACTGGTAAGCGGCCATGCCCTCTGCTCCCTGCCGCGGTGCGGGCGGGGCCCGACGGTGGCCGCCAGGGGGACGGGCCGGCGGAGCCTAGTGTCGCGAGGATGTGAGCGAGCTCGGCGCTGGGTCCGGGACGGGGGCCGGGCCGCCGCCGCCGGCGGGGGGCGGAGATCGGGGCCCCGACGCCGAACGACAGTTGATCAGCCCGGGGCTGGGGTGGCGGGGCGCTGTGCAAGTTCGGATGCGAAGCTGGACCCCACATCTTTGTTCCCCCGCCCCCTTCCACCACTATTCACTGAACGCCCGCTGTGTGATAGACCTGACAGATACTGAGGTCGCAGAGCCGGAGGAGTCGCAGGAGGACCCTGCCTTCCACTGGCAGTGTCCGTGGGAGGGGGCGGCCGACAGTCAACATACAAATAAAGGAGCAAACCAGACAGCTGAGTTCTTGGCTAATGCTTTGGATGGAGGGAAGGGGAGTTAGGAGTGAGGCTCCTGTGGGCCGAGTGATGTCAGGGTGCGGGAAGACCCTTCTGGGGAGGTGGTTCTTCCTGGATGAAGAGGAGGCAGCCAGGTCTCTGGGCCACAGATCCCAGACCGAGAGCTTGTCAGACGCCAGGTGCAAAGGGCCGGAGGGAGCCATGAACTTGGTGTGTCCCAGGGGCGGGAAGAAGTGCCAGTGCGACTGGGGTTTAGAAGGGTGAGGAGAGTTAGCAAAACGGGCTGGAGAGACATGAGAGTGGGCAGGCCTGGTGGAATGTTGTAAGTCATAGTAAGGAACCTGAGTTTAATTTCATTTTGAAGATGAAGCCTTTTGTAAGCCGGAGAGTGATCTCAAGTTTACATTAAAAACAGAACAAAACTAGTAGTGCTTTGGTTGCCCTCTGAAAAGCTGATTGTGGGGGAAGGCTAAGGAGGAGGGTGGGAGAGATCAGGGTGGAGGGGGTTTTGGGGGAGAGCTGCTGGTGACTCGGACTCCTTTGTGGAGTGAGCTGGCAGAAGCCAGGTGTCTGGGGAGAATGGCCGCATTTGTGGATGGAGACCCTTTTGCTGGAGGACAAGGCATAGCCGCTTGAGACTTACGTCAGGAGTTGGAGCCTCCTGAGCTCACATCATACCAAACCATAAATTCCAGGTGCGGTTAAGCTTTAAATCCAAAAAGCAAAACTGCAGAGCTCCAGCGCAGTAGAGAAGGCTTGTGGGGGCTGATTCCAGGGGCAGAACCCCTTGGTGGGAATGAATGAATGAATGAATTAGCGGTAAATTTTGAGTGCCTATCATGTGGCCAGGCACTGAGCGAAGCGTTTTTTTCTAAGATTTTAAGTAATCTCTGCACCATAACAAGAGCCCGAACTCACAACGTGGAGATCAGGAGTCACATGCCCCTCCGACCGAGCCAGTCAGAAGCCCCAGCATTTTGTATACAAGGAAGAACAGGGCACGTTTCACTGTGTAAAAATAAGAGCCACTTGTTTTTTTCAGGGGCACCATGGACGCCTAAGAGACAGATTGGGAAGCGGTATTTGCACTGTGATAGTCAAGGTTAGGTTTCTTGATACACAGGGACCACTTACAAATCAGTAGGAAAAGCACACACCTAGACAAACAGATAAAGGATACAAATCAGCAGCTCCCAGAAGTTACAAATGGCCAATAAAAAAATACTAATAAAGACATGCAAATTAAAGTTTTTTCCTTTATCTGATTTTTCTCCGCTGGCCAAAGTATTGGTAAGTAGGCATGCTTACATATGGTTGGTAGCGGGTTAAACTGTTAACAGCCTTTTTGGGGGACAGTCTGACAGTTCTGTCCATCGTTTGATGTTTGTTCTTTGGTCGAGCATTACCGCTTCTAAAATTTTGTCCTTAAAGAAAAAGCTCTGAATTTTTCCTCTCAAGCATGCCCTTCCCCGGGTCTTGCCTGGTTTAGCAAGCACACAGTGGCCATACCATTCCCCCGCTAACTCAGGCCAGACACCTGAAAGGCATCTTTGCTACTTCTCACAACTTCCCCTTGGTCCATCTGTCAGTCTGTCAGCTCTGCCTTTCAAACGCGCCTGGAATCTGGCCATTTATGATCATCTCCATCTGGACCACCTTGTTCCAGCCCACCATCCTCTTTGCCATGAGCACTGCAGTAGCCCTAGCCCTTACCTGTTCCTTCCGCTGTTCGCAGAGCTGCTAGAGAGCTCTTTTTTATCGTGTCTCGCCGGAATGGAATCCTCTCAGAGGATCCACACTGCTTACTCGGAGCTGTAGTGAGGTCCTGGCTAATCCAGCCCCGCTTGCCTCTCCAGCTCATTACCTCTTTGGGTCTTTAAGCACAAGACCTGCCTGTTCTTCCAACCCCACGAGTTCGGTCCTGCCTCAAGGACTTTATTACTCCCTGTTCCTGCTGCCTAGCACAGCATTGCCCAGACCTACCCAGGCTTACTCCTTTTTGTCCTATCGTTAGCATGGTTGTCCTGAGCACCCTGTTTAAATAGCATCCCCCCTGCATCCTGTAACCCCTGGTCTTAATTTTAAGTAATCTCTACACCTTGTTGGGTTCCAACTTACAACCCCAGGATCAAGAGTTGCATGCTTGGGGCGCCTCGGCAGCTCCATCCTTAAGCCTCTGCCTTCAGCTCAGGTCATGGTCCCAGGGTCCTGGGATCAAGTCCCACATCAGGCTCCTGGTCAGCAGGGAGCCTGCTTCTCCCTCTCCCACTCCCCTGCTTGTGTTCCCTCTCTCCCTCTGTCTCTCTCTGTAAAATAAATTAAAAATCTTAAAAAAAAAAAAAAAAATGTTGCGTACTCTTCTGACCGAGCCCATGGGGAGACCCCTGACCCGTCTTGACTTTATTTTACTGCGTAGTTTGGCTTGTCTGAGAGGATCTGTTTTTCTGTTTCTTGCTCTCTCAGGAGAATGTAAATTTCACGAGGGACCCTGTGCTCACCTCTGTAATTTCAGGATTTCAAAGTGTGCCTGGTACATAATCAGGGTGTAATGAGAATGAGTTAAATTAGTGAGTGAAGGAAGTAATTGGAAAGGACACAAAGATATGTGTAGAAGGGTTTTCATCACAATATTGTTTGGATATGATACTGCTTGAAATTATAAATTGTCTCCATATTTACTGATACG